CAAAACCAAAGTGGGACTGTTTCCTCACTGATCCTGCCCTCTGCTCCCCTCACAGGACGTGACTGCCCGGCTCCACCTCAGCGTCGCCGACACGAGGATGATCATCTCTGTGGCAGCCATAGAGTAATGACCCATCTGCCCTGCAGGAGCCCAAAGGGGACATGTCCCAGTCACGGCAGGCAAAGTGGTCTGGGGAGGGTTTTGGCCTTTAGAGTTTGGGCATTGCAGACGTAGCTTCTCCCCCAGAAATTCCAGAAACATGGCTATGGAGAAAAGTGGGAGCTGCAGCTTCCACACTCCCACAAAGGCCCTGAGCCCAGATGGGGAGTTTGGAGAAGCAGGAGAAACTGCTTAGTGCAGCTCAGCACCTGCAGCTCCTCTGCTGCTCTTTGTTTTCCAGGGATGTCGAGCTCAGCCTGGCTACCTCTGATGTGGGTCCGATACTGGTAGGTGCCTCCAGCTGTGGGCACTCCTGGTACCATCCTCGAAGAGCCTGGTCCCCCTCTGCTGCCCCAGCCATCCTGGGCAGTGGGTGCCAGGAGGGAAATATGGGAATACTGACTTTGGGTTCTTGCTGCATCTGCTGGGAGGGATAGTTGAATCCCTGTGGGATGGGAAGAGCTGCACTGAGCATCAGGACCCTCTCATGGGTCTCTGCCCCTCTCCTCCTGCTTTAGCCCCACACCACGAGCTGACCTTGACTGTCCCCCACAGGCTGCCTTGCTGGAGGAGCTGTTCCTGCCCACAATCCGTGAGGAGGTGCCAGCCCAGATAAACAGTGAGCAGATGGGAGCTCTGCGGGTGCTGCCCTGGGGGAAGTTCAGCATGGACCCAGGCAGCACCCAGCTGGCAACTTTCCCTCTTTCTTTCTCTCAGAGGTCCTGAGACAAGGGGTTTTCCTGCCCCACATCGCCAGTTTCACTTACACCGATGTCAACATCACAATTCACAAGGTAAGAAATAAGACGTTGAAATTGCTCCCTGCTGTGCTTGATTTAAAGGAAGCCTGGGAGCAATGCTAACCTCCCAGCTCCAGAATAAATCATAGCCTGATCATCCAGGCCCGGAAACTTGCAGGACCAAGTTCCACTGCCTTAAAAAGGGACACAGGCAGTGGTGGGGGCCGTGGGTGGTGATGGTGGAGCCCTGTGTGGGCTGATGGAGGCACAGAGGCACTATGCTCAGTCCTTCTTCCTTCCTTCCTCACTCAGGATTATGTCTTGATCCCCTGCAACCTCCAGCTAGAGGCAAGGATTGGAGAGGCAAACACCTGGGAGTGAAGTCCAGTGTCTGGAGTAGAACAGTGGCAGAATCATTCAGCTGACTCTCACATCGTGCTCTGTGGTTTGCCACTGTTTGAAATGTTGAAAATCTTCTTTCTTGATTTACTAAAACATCATGGGCTTATATTCTGGATAATAATGGTGTTGCACTAGCACCTTTCTCTTCCAGCCCTGCTCCTGGTAGTTTTGTTGCACAGAGAATGGATTGTAACAACGTTACGTGCTTTAATTAAACATTTCTCTTTAATTCTGCATTTGCTGGTGTGACTATTGACATTCTTTCTCCCTCAACAATTTTTACCTATAAACAGACAAATTTTGCCCATCATGTCCAGACCCTACATTTAATTAATCCCACTCATTTACAAGGATGCAAAACAGACCCGTGCCTCTCAGTTGCAGAACAACATCATCCCTACAACGAGAGATCTTTCTGCTTTTCCTCCATGCCTCGTGTTACTATGGGAACATTACAGCTGGTGAGTTTCCTGGGTCAGAAAGAAGAGGAGGGGGAGGAAATCAGTCTGCAGAATGGTTTCTAATTTTAGACCTGAAGGCAGTTATATTTTCAACACTTTGCTTCTGAGAAAGCTCATCACAGAGAAGATGCTGAATGAGAGGTGACTGCAGGCGTCAGACTGCGCCGGCGCCGTGGTCGCTGGCCCTGGGATGCTCTTCCCTACTGACCAAACACATCCCCTGCTTGTTCAGGAGCATAAATGGGGGAAAAAACCCACAGCAGACACAGGCATCCAAAAGGGGAGGGTGGTGGTAATAGAGATTCAAAAGCTGCCCTAGTCATTTTATCACTGGGTGCTGTTGGCACCTACCCCAGACAGGGTGAACATGAGGCTGTGCTAATGCCCAGGAGGAGAATCCTTGTCCCTGACCATGCAGCCCAGGAGGAGAATCCTTGTCCCTGACCATGCAGGTTCCACCTCAGCTCTCCCCTGGTGATGCTTCACGTAACCATGAAACCTTATTAATTACATCTACATCTGCTTTCAACTTGCTACAACTATACCCATCATTTCTAGCCTCTGAAGCTGCTGAGAAACACTTCAAAACCTTCTATTTCAAAGGCTCGGGAATAGGAAAAGCAAACAAAACAAGCCAGGTTGATTTACTGCAAGGAGTAAAGAATCCTGAAGGTTTATATGCCCGGAGTGGGGACCTGACTAATGATGTTAATGTCTGAGGTTGGCCATAGCAGGAACAGCTCCTAATAAAAGCGTCCTGGTAGAGCTGCAACCATTATTCTTTGACTAATATATGTTAAACCAGTTTCCCAAAAGGAATAAGCTACAGTAGTAAAAAGATGCATTTCTTTGGCAGGGAATATTCTGGCTCCAAGCTTCACTGCATGACTCTGCCTCTCATGGAGTCTCAGGAGCTGCACCCACAGCTGCCAGCCCCACCTGGGAATAGCCACAGGCTTAGAGCTGCCTCATGCTGGAGAATCAGGGTCATCTGCTTCTCCCTCCAGTCACCCCATTTGTTGAGACCCCCAGCACAGCCAGGGAAAAAGAATACTGAAAAAATTGTTGGCATTAGCCCCTTTGGCAAACACCAAATCCATCACTTTCCTGGGCACTCCTGCAGGAGGAGCTGCCTGGTGACCCCCAGCTTCCCTCACTACTGGCACGTGGAGCAGCATGCAGCAGATAGATTGTTCAAACCCTGGAGCAGGGGGAACAAACCTCTTCTCCAGCCCCCACAAAACAGCAGAGCAATCAATCTTTTGCCAGGGTCATTGCTGGAGCAAGAGCCAGAGAGCTCCAACAAACCCACAAGCCACCAGCAGCACAGCCAGGCCCTGGCAGCCCCTCCTGCTGCTCACCCAGCAGAAGACTTTCCAGCCTGTCAGGGTTTCAGTGTTAAAGAAACTTTCCTGAACAGGATTAGCCCAGCTCTTAAGGGTTCTGGATTGCAGTTTCCTGCTCTGGATATACTCCTGAAGCCACTAGAAATTCAGAACATTAGATGTACAAGTTGCAGAAGTGACGCTGAGAAGATGCTGAAAACACTCCTCTGCTGCTTCCCCTCAGTTCCATGTGATGAGCAGCACGATGGAGGCCAGACCCCAAGAGGAAAAGCCTTTTCCAGGGGCACAAGATGACTTTACCACTCTTCTGTGACCCTGGGCTTGCTGTGCCAGCTCTCCATGCAGCCACAAGCTCTCATCACATGTTCTCACCATACTGTTTTCTTTCTCAAGACAAGCAGAGGCCTGGGACAGTGCCAGATCACAGAGCCCTCTATAATGTGCCAGAGAAATAAATGCCTCCCAGCAGAGCAGAATACACACAGAAGTGATGGCCAAATGGGAATGAAAAGAGGCCCTAAACTTTACTTATGGTCTGGAAGGTGTTTGCTCAGGAACCAGAACAAAACCTTGTATTAACACAGCCTGTTCTGCCACCTGGGGGCAAAAGGGATGGATGGAGACACCAAGTCCCAGCAGTGCAGGAGCCCTGAAGTGGCACCAAGCAGATGCCAGCACAGGTTGCTGGGGAGTTGTCACCCATCCTGTTCTCCAGGTGACAGGGTCACACAGACCCCAGACCCTGCTCTGCCAGCCCTGAGGGCACACTGGTGTCAGAGAACACGAGCAACAGGATTTGGCTCCTGAGCAGCTTCCAAAGCTCCACAGCGTTCTCTCTTGCTGGCACCTCACTCCACAGGGGTTCAGCTGGCACTGGGGCTGTACCCAGCCTCTGCTTCAGTGCAGCACCTTGTCACCACACAGGAGCAGCACTTCTGCCCAGGGACTGGACAAGGTTTGTGTCACCAGCAGCTGAACAGACTCTGGGGAGCACAGCAGCAGTCTGCACCATGCTGGGAATAGAAAGAGCTGTTTACACTCACCAGGACACCCATCTTCAATGTCAGCATGGAATTCAAGCCACCCAAAGCTTTTCTGCTGGCCACCAGCCAGGCCAGCCCATGTGGTGAGTGTGTGTGCCACCAGGTCTGTGTTTGGTACAGCTCAGGAGAGCAGTGGCCAGTTCACACAAAGAGGGACCCCCAGAGGGTCCAGCAGCTCCTCTGTTGTGATTCCTCTGCAGCATCTCACAGCGATGCTGGGAGCTCATGCAGCAGCCACAGGTTTGGCCCCACAGATGCTGAGCTGTTCCCACCTTCAGACAGAAATGCAGAGTGGAATACTGCCCCATCCCTCACCTGCTCAGTGCCAGACTGCCACAGCCTCTGGGGACACAAGGAGTAGGTAACACACTCATAATTACATCCAGTGCTGGGAAAAACTGGTGTTGGAGAGGCCATTTAAAACCCAAGATTTGTATTTTTTTTAAACACAGAATAATTTGGACTTTTTAAAATCCAAAACGCTGGGATTCTTGTCATTGTGACATGCAGAGAGCAGCAGGCTGTGATGTGAGCCTGAGCAGACATGGGTGTTCTCCAGGGCTCAGACCTCTCAGTCCTCTGGTAAGGAATTTTCCCTTCAGATTCTATTAGGAAATGCTTCATGACCTTTGGAAATTCGATTTAATTTTGATTTCTGCTTGTGGATTAGCATTTGGTCAGCAGGTTATCAAGCCAGGAGGAGCCACTGAAAGTTCAATTTTTTTCTCAGGAAGTTCAAGTGGGAAGACTTTTCAAAGCCAAACTCCACATATTGACTGTCACAAAATAACAAGATCCCAGAGTGGAGGCAGAAACTCGCCCCCAGAAGCATCAGAAACCAGAACCTCATTCCAAGCACTAAAAAAGAACATTTATTAAAAGAGTTACATGAGATGTATTCTGAGCTCTCTCTCAGTGCTTCACACCCTCCTAGACAAGGATGGGGAGATTCACTTCAGAAGCCACATGCAAATGCACTTTTTCATTCTATCAGGAAAAGTTTTACCTCAGAACAAATTTCCCAATTCCACTGCAGCACCACATTCAACTGCTGTGACTGTGACCCCCAAATCACACCAACTTCTCTAAATAAATATTTGTACACAGAGCTGCCAGTCAGGTTAGGCTTACACAGGTGTCAAACTGTACTCACACAAGCCAATTCACTTTAAAGTGTCTTAAATATGATCAAGAATCTTGAATCAAGTTCAGTAAAGAAAAGCAGATAATGATGGTCCTGGCATTCCATGCTCACTGCTCTCTTCCTCTCTCTGTCCCCACAGTCCTTTCCGTGCCTCAGGCTCTGCAGCTCACACCAGAAACACCATCATGCCCTGGAGGAGAGCAGGGAGAAACACAAACACATTATCTTCCGTCAAGGGATGTTGGTTCACAGCACAGAGCAAAGACAGAACCCTCCTGCAAAAGTCCTCGTGTCCAGTTTGCAATAAGGAGGGCACAGAACTCTTTGGGGGTGTTGGGGAATCTCCCAGCTACTCCAGGACACCTCCAGGGTGAACAGGGCTGGAACTTGGGGCAATCCAAGACTCTTTGAATGGTGCCACTGGAGAGGGCTTGTCTGAATGCCTGGATCCACGTCAGAGCAGCTCCCACTGAGTTCCTCAGAAACAAAAGAGGGCCTGGACAGGGAACTGGGACTTGCCCCAGTGCCTGAGCACTGCTCATGATGCAGCTGGGGCCACACCTTGTGTGGGCTTCACATCCTCAGGAGCATTCCCTGACCTGAGGGAGGTCAGGCAGAGCAGCCCTTTCAGTCTTTCAGGGATTGAATTCTACAGCTCTTGCACACCCAGGCAGCACTGGCAGGGTCCTGTGAACAGCCCTGGAGCCTTACAGGAGGGAACAGCTCATCTGAGCACTCACCGCTTTTATCTGGAAATCCACATTCACCAAGGGAATGCGCAGCACCTTTGGCAGGGGGATCCCGATGCTCAGGGCACCTGCAGGGCACAGACAGGTCCTCACATGCTGAGCCAGCCCACCCCACCACAGAGCTGCTCCAGGGAGGGCACAGGGAGCAGAGCTTCTCGGGGCCATCACTGTGTGCTTGGCTTTCCTTAGGTTCTCCATCACTGGCTGTTGCCAGAACTGATGCTGGGGTGGGATGGTGCAAATATAAGGTTGGACTTTTAACTACATCCTCAAAATTGGTATTTTGGGGTTTTAATGGCTCCAGCACTCCTTTTACATCTTCCAACACACACACACACATACACACACACACACGACCCCCTCTTCCCTCCTTGCCCAGAACTCAAAGTGCTCCCAGCATTACAGCCAGGTCACCTTACCATTGATCACAGGCAGGAATGTTTCCACAAGCAAGCTGATGCAGTGGGACTTCAGGGGGGAGATCTGAATCAAAGAAGGAACAACCATGTGAGCAGCACTGCCTGGCCCGTGCCAGCAGCAAGCAGGACCCTTGGGACTGCAAACCACTGTCCACTGACACAGCAAAAGAGCAGTCCCTCTGCTCTTTAAAGTGAATCTACTTTTCTTCTTCAATTTGTATTCAGTCCTTCCTTTAGAAAAACTTCTGCCTCGTGATGCTTCTGCTGCAGCTCAATGCGAGCTTTGCCCAAGCAGAGGTGAACAAACAAACAGATTTCAGCTTTACATTTCTTTATTAGAAAAGGCAGATGGGAAAAAGAAACCCCAGCAACAAAGGAATTGCTACAACCTCCACCACAGAGCAGCTAACAGCTCTGACCATCAGCAGGGGTAATCCATCACAGCATCCCACAGTCACTGCCTGCCTCCCTCCCTCCCCAGGAGCCACAGGGCATCATGCCTGGCTGCCCTCCCTGCCCAGTAAAGCCCAGACTAGTGTTAGAGACTTACATTACTGATGCCAACATCGGAAGACTCCAAGGAGAGGGAAGTGCTGCAGGGAAAGGAGAGCAAACAGCAGGTCAGACACAAGGCACCAGCCAGAGCTCACAGACAGAGCCCAGCCACCTCCAAGCACACTCAGCCCCTGGGCAGAGAGACCCACAAAGGGACACCTGCACTGTGACATGAAAAACAGGGGCTGGCACTTGCAAGAGAGAAAAGAAAATAGGAAAATAAAAGCTTAACCTAATTTAAATTTGCTTGTCAATGATGCAGCACTGCAGGAGGGCACACACAGCTCCTGGCTGCGCCTTCCCTCTCCCTCCCTTCACTTTCAGGAAGGAGACAGCTCCTGGCCAACTGAGAGCAGAGCTTCTGGAACCCTGTGGGAGGGGGAGTTGGAAATGGATGATCTTTAAGATCCCTTCCAACCCAAACCACTCTGTGATTCTATGTAAAAGCACACAGTCTGGTGAATTTGCTACAGCTCCTCATCTATCACTGTAATCACACGACTATCCATACCTAAAATGGATGCTTTATTTCCACTTTCAATTTCTCTTTTCTACTTCTATTGAATCTTGTCATACCCTTGTCTATTGAATTAAAAGCCTTTTGACGCATTTCTATTCCCTATATTGCTGCATACAAGCTATGCCAATTTTGCTTCTAAATCCAGCTCTTTGACAAGCTAAATGGCCCCAAATCCTCAAACCTCCCGCTATAAGGAATGCTCTCCAATCTTTAATCATACCTTGACTGGCATTAATGACAGCACTTTCCTTTACTGCTTTATCATTCATGTCCAATATCAGGGATTTCGAACCACTGCCCAGGATCAAAGTCAAGCTGACAGTCTTACAATTATTCAGGTTACCTCATTCCTCCTTGTTATAAAACTGACACACTTTTTCTCCAGCCTCTTAAAACTTTCCAACTGCTGCAATCCTTCCTGAACTACCCCCCATTTACCTTATGCCATCAGTCAGGTATGAAATTCTCACATTCAGATGAAATGTCTGGTTTACAGACACAGAAAACATTTCAAGTCAGGAGCCCCAGAGCTCACACTGCAGCACAGAGAATGTCCCCACCTGGATGAGGGAACAGCTCACCTGCCCAAGGCCAGCTGCAGCACCAGCCTGCCCCCAACAATGGACACACGGACATTCAGAGCCAGGTCCTGCAAGCAGAGAGGGAGAGCTCAGCACACAGCAACATCCCCATGCCAGCCACCACCCACCCACTGCACTGCACCCCTGGGGCAGCTCCAGCCACACTTACAGCCTTCAGCAGCAGGAAGTTGAGGATGGATCCGTCTAAGCGGTTACTGAACAGCTGAATCAGGACCGAAAGCTTGACACTGGCTTTGTTTTCTTCCAGGAGGATGAGTGGGTTTCCTCTCAACACCAGTTTGATGCTCAGAGGACTGGTCCCACTGCAGGCAGAGCACTGTGGGAATTGGGGATGCATGGAGGTGGCTGCTGGCACTCGACGCACCAGCCAGGCAGGGGACTGGCAGTCCTCGGGCAGACTCTCACAGCCCCATAGCTCCATAGGGTCTCCCCAAGGTCACACACACCCTGGACAAGCCAAATTTACAGAGCAAATAGGTCTGGCAGCACAGATCAGCTCTCCATGCTGAGGGCAGAAGGGATGAAGAAGGCAAGGTGGACACAGAGGGGGCTGTGGGTGTCAGAGGGTGCCCAAGAAATGGGATATACCAGACAAGGAAACAGGAAATATTTATCAGCTTTCTATGTCAATGGCTACAGGCTGAAAGAAGGTTTTTCTGTGTTCAGGGAGCAGGAGAAGGCTGGAACAGACAATGGCACACAGGAGAGCAGGTACTGGGCAGGGCTGTGCAAACCCCTAGTCCCTTCTCCCACTCCCATCAGCTGGCCGGGCAGCAAGACAGGCTCTCTTGCTGGTGCAAGAGGAGGGGAGCAGAAAACTGGGGACCTTTGGCAGAGGCATGATGGCAAATCCAGGTGTATCCTGGAGAACTTTACACAAACCCTTGTGCCAGAACAAGTTCCTCACCCCAGCAGGAGCAATGGTCCACACGGCTTCACGCAGGCGGCTGGCACCAGAGAACTGTGGGAACAGAAGCACCAGCAGCCCCCATGAGCCCTGCAGCTGATTCCAACAACACCCATCCTGCCTGAGCCCTCCAGCCAATTCCAACAACACCCATCCTGCCTGAGCCCTCCAGCCAATTCCAACAACACCCATCCTGCCAGGGCTGCCCCATCACAGGGCACCCTGAGCCCTCCAGCCAATTCCAACAACACCCATCCTGCCAGGGCTGCCCCATCACAGGGCACCCTGAGCCCTCCAGCCAATTCCAACAACACCCATCCTGCCAGGGCTGCCCCCTCTCTCTGCAATGTTCCCCAGCAGTCTGGGTGACTCCTGGTAGTTGTTAAGGTGACAGCACCCAAACGTGGAAGGTGACATCCCCCAGAGGCTTTCAACACGTGCCAGTGTGTGGACCCCTCACATTTCCCATTGGAAGTCGAGATCAGAGGCACGGGGAGTGCAAACAGCCCGGGAATGGCCCTGCAGACGTGCGATGTCTTTTCTCCACGGCGCTTTGCAGACTCCTTGAAAGGCTCGCAGCCTGCAGGAGTCCATGGCATGACCAGCACACAGCTGCTGTCAGCTGGTGTCCCCAGGGGTGTCCCTAGAGCACAGCTGGGCAGTGCAGGTGCTATTACAGCTCTGAGAAGGGCAGCAGGGAGGCAGCGCTGGGGTCGAGCCTCTGGCACACGCACCGTGCACACACCCAGGGACAGGCACAAAGAGCCTCCCGGAGCAGACCCGAGGCCAGGCTGATGCCTGTCCCTTGTCACTCGGGCAGGAAACACGGGCCCTGCTGCACTCACGATGTCCGGCGTGCAGGGGAAGGTCTGCGGCGGCGGCTGCAGCAGGAGGGACAGGACTGCATTGAGGAAGCTCTGCCGCATCACCAAGAGCAGGTGCCGGTCCATCAGAGGAGGCAGAGCAGAGGGGGACGAGTCGTGGGGGATGGTGCTGCCTCCCACCTGCTTCACCACGCCCTGCAACGAGAGGTGACACAGATAGCAGCCCTCAAAGGCTCGAGGCATGTTGAGATCTCACAGGAGTGCGGGGGGGTGCCAGCTGAGCATCCCTCCCTCCTCTCCTCGGAGCTTCTGGAAAGCAGCTCCCTCTGATTCATAGATGGCAGGAGCTGATAAAGGCTATTAGCTAATAACACACTCTCTCCAAATCACAGATCACTGCTTCACTTCATCCCTCAGGTCTCACTCCAAGCACCGAGGGGTGACAGTGCTGCCCGGTGATCCCAGACCTCCCCCCAGCTCCACAGACACCCACACTGACACCAACTTTTTGCCAAGGAGGGTGATTCTGACCATCCAGGGGGCCTGGGGGCAAAGGCTCCTCCCAGTGAAGTCATTGCACCAAAGCCAGTGCAGTAGCATGGGTTTCACAGGCGGCAGCACCTGCTATCAGCCCCTGCTCCTCTTTAGTGCTCATGTCCCACTAGTTTCTCTCCAGCTGCTGGCCTTTTTAAGCTCTCCTGTTAGCAAGCAGTTTGCTTTTTGCTGTTAATTTTTTTTTTTCCCATAGTGGGACAGAAGTAAAAAATACATCTATTAGCCTGGTTTAGCATTCACCCATTGCAGAGACTGAACAGCAAAAGCAAAAAGCACCAACATCACGTCTGCAGGAAAAGGGAGATGAGGAAAACTGCTCATCCCATGAGAAGGAGAACTGCTCATCCCAGCAGCTACAGACACAGCCTCAGGCACACTTGGGGTAGGTTGGCATAGAGAGTGCAAGAATAAAAGCACACACAATTGCTTAGTGGTGATTTGGATAAAGATCTAAGCACTTAGGAGCTGCATTTCCAGGACAAATCATCAGTCCAGCTCCTCGTGGGATTCTACAGCTCCCATGGGATGAGGTGAGCACACTGAAAGGCAGCACACAGCCACGCTCCCAGGCTCCTGCTGCCCAGCATTAACTTACATCTAAATCCAGCCCAAGGAACTTGCCAGAGGTGTAGGGGATGCTGGCCAGCTGGTAGTGGATGGTTCCTGCTGTGCCGACTGGGATCACCGCTGCACACAGGAAAAGGATCCTTAATCACCAGGAATCAGCAGCAGCACAGCCTCCCCTGACCCCAGGGACCACCAGCCCCCACACCCACAAACAGGTCCAAGCATTCAGGGCTGAGGGGTGCTTGCTGCTACTCCAAAAGGCCAGAACATCCCCAAATTGAGCTTGGTGGGATCTGCCTTTAGGATATAGCACCAAAAGAGCATCCAAGACAATAAGAAAAATCCAAAGGTGATGGGTAAAAATGGAATAAGGAGGGCCTAGGTGGGAGAAGTTCATTGGAATGCTGGTGTTTGAATTCCAGGCTCAACAACAGCCCTGCAGAAGTGCTGGACTTCTGTTGATGCACTGAGGGGCTTGATGTGGGATAAAGTTCTTGTTCCCGCTGTGGGAAGCACAGGGAAGCAATGCCTCACCCTCCACAAGCAACGCACCATTGAGAGTGCTCAGGAGATGGATGTTCACAAGGTTCATCACGATATCGACCACGGGACAGAGCTGCAACATCAAGCAGAAATGGGACTGCTCAAACCCCCTCACGCCATCACCCACAGCCTGCCCAGAGTCCCTCCTTTCCCCATCAGGGAAAAAGTTGCATGGCAATAGACACAGCTGGGATGCAGCAAAAGACTTGGGGCAGTGGAACATCCCTGGAGTTGAAGGGGAATGTTTTGTTCTGGGGAACATCTGAGGCATCCCCCTCCAGGCAGCAGCTCTGTGGACACCCCAGCCCCATGGCAGTGACGTGGGAGAGCAGCACAGACAGACAGTGGATCTTGCTGTGTAAGATAACACAGTTTTTCCCAGTGTTTCTGTGTTTCAGCTGTGAAAGGAGGACAATCCTCAGCCGTACCAAAGCAGGCAGAGTCGCTGTCAGCTGGCGAAGCACCAGCTCATTCACTGACAGGGTGAGTAAGCTGGAAAAGAAAGGGAAAAAACTCCAAATCAGCACAAACAAAGCTCCAGGACAGGAGACAAAAAGATCTCCAGCCTTCATTTTACATTCTCCTATGCCCTCGGTCATCCCTTCAGGGCCAATGCTGCAGCTGATGCTCACCAGAGCAGGGGCGGGAGATAAAAAAGAGCCACTGAGGGGAGAATTGGACTCATTGCTGAGAATCACAGACTCACTAAGGTTGGAAAAGACATCTAAAATTATCAAGTCCAACCATCAGCTCTGCACCACCACCATGTTCCCCACTAAACCACGTCCTCAAGTGCCATAGCCACATTTTTTTAAGCATTTCCAGGGGTGGTGTCTCTACTGCTTCCCTGAGCAGTCTGTTCCAATGCTTGATAACCCCTTCTCTGAAGAAAATATTCCTTCAGCTCTCAGGGAGCTTTCACTGCATGAAAGGAGTGAGCCTCTCACACTCTAACCTTGTGCTTGGTATCTCCCTCAGGTATTTAAATCAGTGCTGTAGTTAAGGGAAGAGGGAGCTGTTAGGAAATATCTTCATGTTAGTTACTGGGAACAAACAATTTGCATCTGGAATAACAAGAGGAGAAATCTGCTGTGTGACATTTCAACACTGCTGCTGAACAACTCACTCAGGACCTGTGATGCCTGCAGCAGCACAGAGGCAATTTTGTCTGATAATCAATATATTTCTGGATTGTTGAGTTGGCAAGACACAGACAGCAGGAATTCATGGAGCACCTGTTATTTATGCCTAAATTCTGCCTACAAATGGATCTGAAGAGCTGCCATGAAGTAATTTGTGTATATCTACACTTCCCTTGCCCCTCTAGGAGTTCACTTCCTGCAAACCATCACTTTAATCCTGCTAAAAATTAACCATGACCCCCAGAGCCGGTGAGTCGTGTTGCTTTGTTCACTCACACTGCATTTTTCAAAGCAGCTGCTGCACTGATTGAAATACAATGCATAATGCAAAAATTAATTAGGAGAATTCTGATGAACCTGAAAAGTGAGTAATTCAAAAGCAATAGAAGAAAATATTTCCCATTATCAATTTACTGCTGCTTTCATCAATACATGAAGTCAGCAAATCCTTGCTGTCAAGAATTTAATAGGACTGAGCAAGAGATGAGACATTTGCATGGAATTACACACAACCACAGCAGTCAGAGGGAAACTCCACATGCCAGGCATTCTCCTGGGACAGCAGCCAAAGGCAGAGTACAAAACCAGGGAAAGTAATGGTCCTGTTTTCCTGGAATTCTCCCAGCCCTATTACTCCTACTCATTGGAGATCAATTCTCTAGCTAAATCCAGAGAAAGTGTGTTGGGAAAGGTACCAAACCTCATGCTTCAGACCTTAAAATCTCCACAGGCAAACAGGGCAAATTAACCCTCATTCCACTGATGTAGTTGGCATTGGCAATAGGGAAGAAATTCCATCCCCAAGGCCTGGCTCTGTATCACTGAGCACTGTCTGTGTCCTGGCAGACTGTCCATATCAATAAAGAGGAGAGGATTGCACATAATGAAAACATAAATCCAGGGGCACTTACCCAGAAAGGACCTTGATCTTTATGGCCCCAAGAATACAGAGGCAGTCTTCAGTGACAACCTGGAATGTGCCAGATTCAAAATTCGTGCATTTAATGTTTGCAGTAATGTTCACCTCCACTAAGATATCAATGAGTTCTGAAAGCAGGCCAACCAAGCTGCAAAAAAGCAAATGGGATTATTCCATCTCTCAGCCTCTACACACAGAAACTCACCAAAGCCAGGAGAAACAGACTTCTCCATGTCCTGCAGACTATTACCAATGCCACAGGTCATCTTTTAGTGTCTGTTTTGCTCTGTGACTTTATTATAGATAAGAAACACTTCAAAATCCTTAAGAGATGTCAAATATGTCAGGGTAGGGGTTTCCCTCAACACCCATCCCGAATCCCTCACTCACCAGTTGCCTCTGAGCTGCAGCTTTGCCCCGATGGTCAGCTGGACCCCGATCCCTGGCAGCAGCACCACCGACAGCCGGGGCACCCGGACCTTGATGAGGTGCAGGCTGTGAACAACAGCAAAGGCTGGCACGGATTCAAAACACCTTCCAGCAGGAGCAGCTGCACCCAGGGAGCACCCACGGCACCCCCAGCACCCCAGCCAGCTCCAGCTGGAGGTACAAGGATAAGAGACAGCTGACTACAAGAAGGCAGCCTAGAACCAGACTGGGGTGGGAGCTGACTTTGGAGAGCTGCCTGCTGTCCCTTTTCCCTCTCTCAGTGCTGCCAGGCATTAACAGCACAGCAGAGCTGTCAGTCTGCACCCACAACCTGCAGTGTCCCTTGCCACCCACACTGCGACCCCACAGACAACATTGTGGGGTCAGAATTTCAGTACCACAATAAAACAAGGACAACAGCCCAGGCCAGCCATGCCAGGGGCAGCTCAGCTCGTCTTGCTCAGAACTGATGCTGAAGGTGCACTCACAGTGAAGCACTTACTCTGTGATGCTGGTGGGAGAGTTCAGCTGACTCCCTTCACCCATGATGTTGGGAACAACAAGACCCTGCAGGTGCTGGTGGATGAGCCCATTATGAATGATGGCATCTGAGAGAACTGGAAAAGAGCTGTGTGTGAGGACCAGCATGGGCAGCACTGACCTCTCCCCACTCAGGCAGATCCACAGCAAAGTCCCCCCGCTCCCCAAAACCCCTCATGGAGACATCAACTGTCTCCATGCAGTCAAATAACACAGGGATGGTATTTTACAACTTTGGTGCAATAAAACAAAGCTGCCCTTGGTGAAGTAAACAGGAGGGGCAACAGCGGAAAGCATCCCAGACTCCAATTCAAACATCACAGCCTGGTTGTGCACTGCCACCAGTGACCCCACTCAGAGGCTGGGCTTCCACTCACAACTCATTTCCCCTTTGTCAAAGGGGTTTTTATTTGTTGATTTTTGCCTGTTTATTTTGCTTTTGGCTTTTGGAGTTTTTTAGCAGAAACTACTTGAAACAAGCCTCAACATTGCAAATATTATTATGTCTGCTACTTCACAGCAGCTGTTTGTCAAATATCAGCTGCTCCAATATGGAAATGAGAAACTGAGAAAAACAGAGGAAATAACCCAGATCTAGCTCTGAAATTCTATGTGGCTGCTTGGAGCTGAAACATGCCCCAGTTCTGGAGCAGAGATTTCCCTGACCCATGAATCTGGTGATGGCTCTCAGGGGCTCTGAGCAAAGTCTGCAGCCCTGAGGAATTATGAAATAAAGATGACGGGGAGTAAAACTCAGGCAGTTTTACTCCCCATCAGAGTCCCAGAGAGCTTTCAAAGCAAACACAGCTTTGAGGTGTTTTTTGTAGTTACCATTCTGCATCGCCTGCGGGCTGACAGCACAGGACAGGCCAGACAAGACCTCCTGCGAGGGCGAGAGGAGGCCACAGAAAAAGATGATTCCAAACAGCTTCAAAACCATCATCTCCAGAAGATTCCCCTGCTGGCAAGGGAGACATCAGAGGGGACAGTGAGGGAAAAAAACTCTCAGAAGTGACCTCAGTGTCTTTATGAGGAAAGAAGTCAAGAAAGGAATCCCTCCTTTACTCTTTATCCAGATCAAAGGAGACTCTGTTCAAGCCCAGAGCAACAGGACCTTCTTCATGTCCACACACATGGACAGGCTCCACGTGTGGCTTATTAAAAGCCCTTTCCTCATCCCTTGTGACTGGCCCAAAATGTTCGCACAAAAGAAGCCAAACTTCATGTTTAAGCTATTTCTGTATCCCTGTGATACACTTACAGGTGTTTTGGTGAGGGGCTTTGCCAAGGGAAGCATCTGAGGATTATCTGTGTCCCTTCTACTTTTCAAAAGCACAAAACTAAAGCACAAGTGATTAAAATAAGCCATCTAGATGATATAACTTAATAATTAGTAACATAAATTTAATTATGACATAGCAGGCATAGGGGGGTGATCAGAAGCTTATTGCCCAGCACAATCTCCAACCAAAGCAGTCAAGCACTTCCAGAGTGAGGACCCTGCCACCACCCTGCCAGCACAGAGAGGATGTTACCTGACTCAGCTGCAGCCAGCTGGGATGGGCTCTTTGCTCCTCTCAGGCTCCTCTGGACTCCTCAAGACTCTGTGATGTCCCTTTTTCCCCCACAGCTGAGATGAAAGAAGTGCCCTTATATAAAATCTGCAGCCAAGCAGACACGCCTTTTCCACTCAGCCTCCCTGGCCCATGAGCAGCCATCCCTTTGCTGCTGCTCCTTGCAAGCAACACCCAGCTGCCACCTCTCTTGATTTATACAAGGCAGTGTCACTGCTGACTTGACCCCTGTGGCCTCCACATCACTCAGATGCTGCTTTTCCCTCCACCCCCAATCTATCTGAAACAGGATGCCCTGCAACGGTGGCTCCAGTGGGGATCCCTGTGCTTTGAGGAAAACAGCATTTTTAGGAAATAGTGAGAGTTACTGAAGCGTCCTGGCAGAAGGCTGATGGGGCTGCCTGTGCAAGGAGGCAGCACACAGAGCGCAGGAACCTGGGTTCCAGGAGACTTAGAGTAGGAAAATATCTACTTTTGCTCATCCCTGAGGAGGTGTGAGATTTTAAAGACTCATTCCTGTTTCAAATGGTGTCCTAGGAAAATATTTTCTTGACAAAAAGCAATGCTGAGAGTTGTAGCGATCTGATAGAGGTGGGCACTTAGATTGATTTCAGATAGGTCTGTAACATGCCATGTGAAAAATGAAGTTGTATTGAAATGCACAAAGCCAGCGATTAACACAGTTTTGAATAAGCAGCACTTACAGGAGATGAACACCAGTAGCAGCAACATGGATTTCAAGGGGAAGTCTCATCCTGCAGGAGTGAGGCTCTCACCCCTCAGCAGATGCCTTGGCTGGGCTTAGCAGAAGTTTCCATTGTGCAGGGCCCCGAGAAGATCTTATCTGGGCACTTCGTTTGGGTCTGGTCACCTGCGTTCAGCTGGGATGGACGTGGGGGAAACTGGGCAGCAAAGGGCTGCTGCGAGCTGGGGAGCTGGAGAGGGGCTGGTGTGCCCAGCCTCACGGAACAGGGAGCAGCAGAGATACAATCACTCTCCACAAACATGGGAGAGGAGGAGAGGAGAGAGAGGAGAGGTGCCTGGGCTCAGGGACAAGGTTGGCACAGGAACAAACAAAGCTGATACGTTCAGGTTGGAGTTAGGAGAAAGCTGCTACCACGACAGTGAGTTTAAGGCTACTTGTCCCCTGGGAATACAGAAGGCAGAAAAATATACTCAGGATTCTCTTCAATACTCCACGAGGTGTGTTCTTGCAGTAGCAGCAAAGTGCTTGCACCAAGTCCCTCAGCATGTGTTGCCCTGGGCTCGGTCTCAATGGAGCAAACTTTTGCTTGTCACAGAAACTTGTTTTATTTAACACTCAACCAGCACTGCATTTGATGTGCTGGTGACAGCCTAGTCCCAAAACCAGGGCATGAACTGGATGGCCTTAACAGGCAGCCTATGCATGCTGCTCCTTTCTTGTCCCCTTTCACAGATCCAAATGCAGCAGGCTGAGCAGCCACCATGAGCACACCCAGAGTGAAGTGCCCATGAGCCTGCTCCAGCTGTGTGCAGGAATATCCCTGCTGGCAAAAGCCAGCTGCTGAGCAGGGACCAGTGTGGATTTCCAGCTGGTTCCAGAGTGTCCCTGTGTGTGCAATAAGCACCTGAATCACTGTGTAGGTGCAGATGCTCAGCAGAGCCAGGAGCTCCCGTCGGATCCTCTCGCTGTTCCGGGGGATCCGTGTCCATGCACACACCCTGCACCACAGCTGAGCCACAGCCCTGACAGCAGCTGTGAGGAACACAGCCCTTTTTACACTCCCTGTCTGTATTTCTTCTTGCTCTGTGACTTTTTCCTCCTCAGTCACATCCCTTGTCTCCCCTCTCATGTGCCCATATTTCATCCTCTCCTTGCAGCAGTGATTTAGATATCACTTACCAGGAGGCTGGATTCAGTCCTGCAGTGACAAGGGAAGATATATTAAAATAAAGCATTGCAAGAAATTGTAGAAGAGATTGTCTCAACACAACTGCTGGAAAGCAGAAGGGCTCGAGGAAAGGTCAACACCCACAGAGAAGAAATGCTCCAGAGCAGCCTCCAGCATCCTGCACTGCCCCAGGCTTGTGGTTCTGCAAGAAGGCAGGTTAAAAAGCAACAGCATCTTTAGAAGTGTAATATTAAAGTAATTAAATGTAATAATTTATTAAATATTATTAAATTAACTCTTTTTTTTCTCTAATATTCAGACCCATGGAAGCCTAGGGAAAACTAGGAGAATTGCACCATGCAGGTCAAATTAAAATGCTGAGAAATGCTGAAGATTAAATAAAATCAGAATTTTTGCACTACATTTTAATGACAGATGGTGGTTTTGAGACATTTCAGAGGTTTGCAGGTTACAGGAGCACAACTTTCTTTCACTGCTATGTGACAAACAAAAAATAAAAATTAAAACCAAAAAGAGTAACCTCAGAATGTTAAAATTCTTTAATGGGCAAATAGTAACTCTTTGTTTAGAGTATACATACACTGAACCCTCCCTCTTGAGGTAAACAGCCTAAATCTGGTGGCAGGACTTGCAGCCTGTGCTGGAGCTGCTTTGTAGAGATGTTCAGCCTTTTCCCTCTCAGGGACACCTCCTAGGAGCCCATGACTGCTTCCAAATGGATGCTGTGAACATTAATGAACTGCTCAGCCCAGATGTCGATGGGAGTAACTCCCTGATGCCAACAAGAAGGCAGCAGCTCAAGGGGAAGGAGGAAGCACTTGGGGGAGGAAAATGACACAGCAAACTGCTGTGCTGGAACAGAAACTGGGAAAGGGCAGGGGGGAACAAATTAAGTTTTAAGTGCTGACTGCAGCTGGTGTGGACTTGCAGCCTGGTCTCTGGAAAGCTGAAGTTCAGGTGAGGAATTGTTTTCCCCACCCAGTATTTTACTGGGGAATATGGCAACATAGCAGATCTGCCCTGGGAGGGGTTGGGCACCTCGGCCAGGGGCAGCTCAGTCCAGAGCCTGGAAAACAGGCTCATGGAAAAGTGGCACTCACTGCTCTGATTCTTCTGCCTCACTGCGAGCTGGCTTGTTCAGGGGAGATTTTTTTTTCCCACTCCTGTTAATGAAATTGCTCAGGGAAGTGGAAGGAAGGAACTGTCTCTGAGCTCCCCAGTGCAGTATAAAACGCTGAATTCAGCACCAGAAACACGGCATTAGTGCAGCACTGTCTCTATAGAGTCACCTGTGTTCTGGTTGGTTTGGGATGGATTAATCTTCCCAGAGCCAGGCTCCAAAACTAATTTCAAGCAATAGGATTTGCCAAAGCATAAACTAGAGTCTCCTAGAAAGGACCTGGAAGGCTTTAGTAAGAAGTGAAGGACTCAAGCCTTCCTCAACTTTTGGGACTCGACTTGAGCCCAGGATTGACAGAAACCCACAATCCCCAGGGCCAGATTTACAGCTGGTTTAGCAGCTCCCATTGTCAGCAGCCCAGGAGGGCAGAGCAGCTTAATTAATACCCATCACTCCTGCAGCACAGGCAGCCTTGCCAAGCTCAGGCTGACCCGGGGCTGCTGCTTGGCACACAGAGCCCGGGCCCGTGGCAGGGTGTGCGTGGGCAGACGTCAGAACCCTCCTCTCCAGCTGCACCCCTGTCTGATCACTCAGCCCTGCAGTTTCCTACACGGGCAACTTGAGAAGCAGGAACATCATCTCAGGCAAGGGCCCCACAGAGAGCCTAGGCAGGGGAAACAGGGAGAAGGACACAGAGGTAGGGGCAGCAGCTCCCAGAGCTGCCTGGCAGGAGGAGGCAGAGCAGCAGCATTGATTTCTGGAAGCATCCGCAATGCTGAGCATAAACAGCAAAGCCCAGTAAAGTCACTGCCATGAGATAAGCACAAATCGATGTCTCCAGGAATTTTATAGACAGGAAATTTTCTTCTTCTGAGACGCCAGCAGAAGCAGAAGGAGCATAATGTTATCAGCCCCCAAAAAGTGACAAACTTCATCAGGCAGATGCAGCACAGTGAGATGGAAAAGAAATGCACAGAAAAGCATCACTCGCTGGATACTTTGCAGTGCAAAAATGGAGCCACTTCTGCAGATGGGTGTTCAGCCCTGCCCAGAGCTCCCCAACACAGCACTGACAGCAGCACAGGCTGGAGGGCTCACAGGGAACCCAGGGAAGCCCAGGCAGCCTTGCAAATCCCTTCCCAGCTGCTTTGGGCAGGCACTGGCTTCACCAGGTTTTGCAATATTTTATCAATATCTGTCACTGCAAAGACCAAAGTGCAGCCAAAGTGCTGCCCTGATCACCTTTCTGGGTGGGTGTTTTGCATCTGGACTTTCAGGTTTGGCCCATTCCATGTTTCCCTGGGGTATCATTTCTCAGCTGGCCCCACACAAGGCACACTTGGTGAGCAGAAGAGGTGTGACCTTCCTGAAGGACTGCCAGGAGCTGGCAGTGATGGACCACAGGGCACACACAGCTGTCTGCCCTGTGGTTGGGGTGCATGGCCAGAGCCATCCCTGGTTTCTGCTGTAGCTGACCTACACCAGCATCTCTTATCTCCCCCTCCCTCCCTCCCTGCTGCTGCCCAGCACAGCCATGGTAGCCTGAGTTCTTCAGTGGTGCAATGTGCACCTCAAAGTCAATTCCAGTTCTATGTTTTAAGCAAATGAATCCCTCTCCTGCTTTCTTCCCATCACTTCCAATCACTCACACTGCGAGTGTGTGAACGCCTCAATTCCTCCTCACTCTTCATTCTTCCAATTTATTTTTTGCCTTCCTCTCAGGCTGGAAAATGGATTTCTGTCCATTTTGTTGTCTCAGAAAGTGTTGGCACTGTGGTGCCAGTGAAGACTTTTTAAATAAAGACAGCTAATTCTGTGTGACTGAAGGATAGTGACACAGACTCAAAGTCATGTTTCTGTCTTGCCTGAGGTTTGGGGAAGCCTTGCTTTACAAAAAGAAAAGCAGTATTGAGTGAAATTGTCCTTGATAGTCTCCATTAATCCCTGGGAAGAATTAGCAGCAGCTTTATATTACATTCATACATCTTCTAGAAGCAAAGATTTCAGGCTTTCTGTCTTATTCACAGCTTTTAATAGAGACTTGACATGGTCTCATTGGACACATCATCAGCACAGGTGGCAGAATTAGTACCCTGCTTTGTCCAGATGCTCCTCGGGGGATAAATTACAGCCCTGCAGGCAGGCAGGGTTCGGAGTCAGCGTTATGGAAATAAATGCTTATATCCAGGAAGACACCGACTGCTCTAAAGAAATTGCAGCCGAAACCAGAGAGCGAGTTCATGTTAAACAAACCTTGCTGATGAGTTAATTAGCCTGACGAGCACGGATGAGGTCTAACTCACCCAGGTGCTATTCCCTCCCACCAGTTTGGTGATGCTGTGTCGATTCTGTCTTGGGGCAGAAACATCAAAACAACCGATGTGATTCTGAAAGGAGGAGACAAAAAGGCATTAAAGGACAAAGAGGCATGAAAATCCCGAGCAGGCTGGAGGGCAAAGAACAGGGTCACACCGCACAGGTAGGCGGCTGTCCTGCCTCCGACCCCGCGGGGATCAGCGTCCCAGTTCACACCTACAGCTGGTGCTGGTATTTGTGAGCACCCATCCCGTGTCCTACGCACCGGGGAGATGCCACATATCTCACACATCCTCCCTGGGTCCCCGTGTCCTACACGGAACAGAAATTCCAATGCAAAGGGTGGGCGAGCACCTCGGCTCCCGCAGAGGGGAAGCAGAGACGGGAGCGAGGAGCAGCCGCACGGTGCAGGGGGTGCACGGGCCCAGAGCTGACCTGGAGGGTTTATAGTGAAATACACCCACGTAGCGCAGAGGAGCAGCAGGGAGAGGCCGCGGAGCACCCTCTGGAGCAGGGGGAGCGACACGGACCCGCAGCGCGGGGTGGAACCGCGGGACTCGAACCCGCGGTCCCCGGAGCTCGGGGCGGCTCCCTTGGGCTGTACCGCCCCCTGCTGGCGGCGAGCGGCCCCGCGGGGCAGGGCCCGGCAGGGACCCCGGCAGGGACACCAGCAACGACCCCCGGCAGGGACCCCCGGCAGGGACCTGAGCAGGGACCCCGGCAGGGACACCAGCAACGACCCCCGGCAGGGACCCCCGGCAGGGACCCCGGCAGGGACCCCGGCAGGGACCCCCGGCAGGGACCTGAGCAGGGACCCCCGGCAGGGACCCCGGCAAGGACCCCCGGCAAGGACCCCCGGCAGGGACCCCGGCAGGGACCTGAGCAGGGACCCCGGCAGGGACCCCGGCAGGGACCCCGGCAGGGACCCCAGCAACGACCCCCGGCAGGGATCCCCGGCAGGGACCTCGGCAGGGACACCAGCAATGACCCCCGGCAGGGACCCCCGGCAGGGAACCCCGGCAGAGACCCCCAGCAGGGACCCCCAGCCACCCCCGGTGACCAGGGAAGGGGGCACGCGGCAGTGCAGGGTGGCAGGGAGGTGTTGGTGGAACGCTGGGGTTTTGGAGCTGGAAGGGAAAATGCACTGGTTGGGAAGGTTCCACAGAAGGTTCATGGAGTGGATGAAGCTCCTTAAAGCGACTCCCCGTGTGGGCAGATCGATTCCTGTCCACCAAAAGCAATAAAGACAAAATAGAGAGAGACCATTTCATTCCCCTTTCACTAAAAGAGCTATTCGATATCGACCTGACACATGGCAAGGAGTGCAATACCTCTGAGCATGGACACAACCCAGGGGCTTGGGGCACATGCCAGGGCCAGATAATTCACAATATAGCATCACAGACACACATTCGGAGTGATAGAAACAGACATTTTAGCATCCTGTTCCTTAAAAGAGGGAACTTTTAGACCCTTTCCTTAAAAGTTCCCTCTTACGGAACTTACAGACCTTGTTCCTTAAAAGAGGGAAACTTTTAGACCAGAGATAAGGAGGGAGATATTTTACAATG